TCTACTTAAATACGAAAAATAACCTATTGTTAATCAAAGGAAAAAGGATAACAAGCAAAAAGTGGATAAGGAACCTTAGGAAATCAGGAGAAGACATTTCCCGTGAGTGTAGTCTGCCAGAAAAGACAAATCGGATCAACAAATCGAGAGGGTGCCGAGGGGGCAAGGAAAATATCGGGAGTGATGACGCCACTCTAAACTTGCAATAAAAAGCACACATATAGAGTCGAATATAAACAAATTAAAAGTAACAGGATGGGCGTGAGATTAGAGGGTAGAGTGTAGATAGAAAAGCCAGGACAGAAAGAGGGATGGTAGCACAACCCTTTCGGCAGAAAGTTGGTCAGGGGATTGACTTCACTTGTCTCTTGTTTATGAGACTGACAAGACTCACTGGCGATGCCGACTACGATGTCGACGAACGCCTGAGAATGTACTAATTCCACCGTCCAACGATGGTAATCACTATAGCTACTATAGCAGAGGACCTTAGAAAAGGTGCATCGAACTAGGTCACTATGACAACACAATCATATTGAAAAAACGGGTTCAGACCACTTCTATATATCGAAAGGAGACTGCAACCAAAACAGACGCCACGACATTTTGGTATTCACATAAATATATTTTTATTATAAATATTTATACCATGTATCACAGAGCCGGTTAATCTTCTTGACTTAGTGTTAATTTGGGACTTTTGCTAGATTGAATCATAATTCAGTTGATGTACTTCGTCTGAGGAGCGAAAACTCAGCGTTTTTTCACCCTAAACTATGGAAGAGGTCTCGTGGACTGCGTCAACCTGAATCTCGTGTCAACTCCAAACTGCCTCAAACTTCAGGTTTGGCCTCGCTATTTCCTCTACACTTCACAACTAATTGATATTAGTGGGGCACTGGAGCAAGGCAAGCAAGAATTAATCCAATTCACATTATTTGTAATGGGATTATTGAGTATACATCGCTCGAGAATCGACGTGAAACGTCGAATTGAAACAAAAAATGTTTACCAAGAACTGTCGAGGAATGTGCCAGTCCTTGGTGCTATTTTCGATTGGCCTTCTTCATTGCAGTTTGTGCGATCGTCCTGGCTAGACGTATATTTCCAGTCAGGACAAGTATCGAAAAGGCAAATTGGCAATTGATATTGGCGCAACCTGATTTCGTTTGAAAAGTCAGGTGGAAAGGATTCATAAATTTGCTCCTCCGGAAGCCAAAGGTGGATAGCTTCGAGTTTTTTTTGCTAGGATAAATGAAGAAGACGCACCCGAATTCATGATTAGCTCTCATCTGTAAAGTGGTAAACATCTGCAGAGCCAGTAACCAGCAATTGATAGTAAATCAACCATAAGCATTAAACCATAAAGCTTTGCCTCTAGGAATACTACTTATTTCTTAAGCCTAATTTTGCAATTTAAATGTAATACCTCATTATTTGTTTGGCTTCTTCATATTTGCCTTATATGCTTGCAGATGAATGAAGTTGATGCATTTAATAGATTAGCATATGTTCATTGCTGTTTCCTGGCCTAAATAAATTGTAAAACAATCTTTCAGTGTTGATGCGTCTTTCAGATTAGAGGTTCTGCAAAATAAAAGACGCTCCTATATGTACGGTCACGTTGTCTCTTGACAAGATGGCAAGATAATCTTGATGAATTTTTTATGTTGTGTAAGAGAACAGATAATTTAACGAAATTCTAGATGGGGTCGGAAAAGGGTTGTAAGTTAGCTCGTTTTTATGCTATAGCTAGTTGACAAGATAACACATTGGCCATAGCAGTGTATAAAAAAACAAAAATGCTTGTTTTCTTATTAAGTACGTCTATAATAATAAGTTTAAGGTTAAAATATGGGTTGTTAGATCAATGGTAATCAAAAGTTCGTCTCAAGAATACGTGAGTAAGAGTTAGAGGTATTAAGACAAATTTGAGTTTGGAACAATTATGCATTAGAACGAATTGCCAATAATTTTGCAATATTTATAAATAGGCTAAAGAATACTAATTATTTAGGGTGAAATGGTGATTTAAAAGCTCCTCCTCCGGGTTCTTGATAATAATATCTTACCAGCTGTAAAAAAAGATAGGCGAACTACTAAGAAAATGCAAGGTTAGGACCATGCCTTCTTTTAGAGAATCTCTGGGCCCACTGGGCAGATCTTATTGTCATAAATTTGGTGCCATGGCGTAGCGTTTATGAGGAGCGACGTGCTAACCGATACAGAAAAGGTTATTTTAACCCATGACCATCTTCAAG